AAAAATAAGTCCATTTGCAATAGTGCTAGTCCATTAACATTAGTTTACATAGGCCCAATGCAAGCCCACTCTTTTATTACAAATATATATGCATTAGTGTTAGTCCATTTAAATTAGGGTTTCTGGTTTAGTGTTTATGGTTTAAAGTTTAGAATTAGGGTTTATGATTTAGGATTTAGGGTTTCTATAAACTATATATTTTATTACTTTATATAGTTTATGCATAGTGTTTCTATAAACTATATAAGTAATTTACTTTATATAGTTTATATATATAGTTTATATATACTATACATGGTTTATACATACATATTATATAAAATTATTTAATAAAATTATTTAAATGTAAATTATATAAAACATGATTAATTAGATGTTAAATAATTAGTATGTCACATTGCATATTATATGGTTTATAAATAGTAGTACATGTCATATTAATTTAAATTGCATAATTTGTATTTTAGTTGCATGTTAGGTTAATTCACATTAATGGCTCATTTATTTTGTTGTTATGAATAAGTAATAATAAAACCCAAAAATAAGTCCATTTGCAATAGTGCTAGTCTATTAACATTAGTTTACATAGGCCCAATGCAAGCCCACTCTTTTATTACAAATATATATGCATTAGTGTTAGTCCATTTAAATTAGGGTTTATGGTTTAGTGTTGGTTTAAAGTTTAGAATTAGGGTTTATAATTTAGGGTTTAGGGTTTTTATAAACTATATATTTTATTACTTTATATAGTTTATGCATAGTGTTTCTATAAACTATATAAGTAATTTACTTTATATAGTTTATATATACTATACATGATTTATACATACATATTATATAAAATTATTTAATAAAATTATTTAAATATAAATTATATAAAACATGATTAATTAGGTGTTAAATAATTAGTATGTCACATTGCATATTATATGGTTCATAAATAGTAGTACATGACATATTAATTTAAATTGCATAATTTGTATTTTAGTTGCATGTTTGGTTAATTCACATTAATGGCTCATTTATTTTGTTGTTATGAATAAGTAATAATAAAACCCAAAAATAAGTCTATTTGCAATAGTGCTAGTCCATTAACATTAGTTTACATAGGCCCAGTTTAAACCTACTCTTTTATTACAAATATATATGCATTAGTGCTAGTCCATTTACATTAGGGATTATGATTTAGTATTTAGTGTTTGTGATTTAAAGTTTAGGATTTAGGGTTTATGATTTAAGGTTTCTATAAACTATATATTTTACTACTTTATATAGTTTATGTATAGTGTTTCTATAAACTATATAAGTAATTTACTTTATATAGTTTATATATATATAGTTTATATATACTATACATGGTTTATACATACATATTATATAAAATTATTTAATAAAATTAATAAAATTATTTAAATGTAAATTATATAAAACATGATTAATTAGGTGTTAAATAATTAATATGTCACATTCTATATTATATGGTTCATAAATAGTAGTACATGTCATATTAATTTCATTTGCATAATTAATATTTTAGTTGCATGTTAGGTTAATTCACATTAATAGCCCATTTATTTTGTTGTTATGAATAAGTAATAATAAAACCCAAAAATAAGTCCATTTGCAATAGTGCTAGTCCATTAACATTAATTTAGATAGGCCCAATGCAAGTCCACTCTTTTATTACAAATATATATGCATTAGTGATAGTCTATTTACATTAGGGTTTATGATTTAGTATTTAGTATTTGTGATTTAAAGTTTATGGTTTATGATTTAGGATTTCTATAAACTATATATTTTATTACTTTATATAGTTTATATATATAGTTTATATGTACTATACATGGTTTATACATACATATTATATAAAATTATTTAATAAAATTATTTAAATGTAAATTATATAAAACATGATTAATTATGTGTTAAATAATTAGTATGTCATATTCCATATTATATGGTTCATAAATAGTAGTACATGTCATATTAGTGTTTGCCCATTTATATTAGGGTTTATGGTTTAGTGTTTATGGTTTAAAGTTAGGGTGTATGGTTTAGGATTTCTATAAACTATATATTTTATTACTTTATATAATTTATGCATAGTATTTCTATAAACTATATAAGTAATTTACTTTATATAGCATATATATATATAAACTATATAAAGTAAATTGTTTATATAGTTTATAGAAACACTATGCATATTACATTAATATACCTATCATACATGCATTAATAAATTATACATATATGCATACATATTATACATACATGCATGCATTAATAAATTATATATACATATCATACATTCGAATTTATAGTCAAGATATTAAAAATTATAATCAATAAAATTCAGGCGCGATTGTTTCCCAAATTGTCAAATAAAATTTTTGTATTTGTTTTTAAAATTCAAAATAATAAAATTCAAAGTTGGTGACAGGGCTACAATTTTTAAAATTTTGCCCAAATTGCCAAATAATGGCGCGATTGTTTCCGCACCAAAAATCATTCCCGCGTTTTCAAATCACAAAAGAATCACATTATTACATTAATATATACATACATATTATATAAAATTATTTAATAAAATTAATAAAATTATTTAAATGTAAATTATATAAAACATGATTAATTTAGTCATTTTTATATTAATTTAAACCTCACATTTTAAATTTATTTCGATTTAGTCCCTTACCTATGTGTGTTGTTTAATTTATATTTTAAGATTTTATTTGTAATTTTACATTACTTCAATTTTGTCATTAATTTTATTTTTTTTACAAAATTGATCCATGATTATTTATTTTTCTCTTATTTTACTCGAAATCATATACAATTACAACTTCCAATTCAACAATCACGAAAGATGAAAAATTAATTAATCTAAAAAAATAAAAACGACCCGACCTGAACTCAATCCGTATCCGATAAACATCCGACCTGAATTTTATCTGTCAATGATGTGACCCGATCTGAACGAGATCCGACTGAAGTCAACCCGAACCTGAATTAACCTGATATTTATCTGCTTCGGACCAAGAGAGACCTCTCAAGAATTTGGAGGATACTTCCAAGCTTCCCACTCTCCCAAAGATAAAAATCTTTGGGTGGAAGATCAATAATGACGCTCTGCCTTCAAGTTCTAAGCTGGTTTCCGCTCAGTTAAGTGATGGAATTTGCCCGATGTCTCTCTGAACCGGAATCCATCCTTCACGCTTTAAAGAATTGCCCAAAGACTCGCGCCATTCTTCTCCTCTCAAGCCTTCCCTCTTCGATATTGGACTGGGAAGGATCTTCGTGCAAACGGTGGCTGGAAACAGCTTCATCTCTTCTTGATCTTTCAGGCCTCAATAGAAAGGTTACGCTTGTGTGGAACATTTGGAATCGAAGGAACAAGAGGGAGCTCGATGAAGAGCTCCAAGATGACCGTGCAGTGGTGGATGTAGCCTGGGGGCAGCTGACTGAGTTAGGCGATGCGAACTGGACCTTCAAATCTTCCAGGGACCTCCCGTTTTCCATTAAAAACTGAAATGGACAAAATCAATTGAGGGGACCGTCAAAGTTAATTCGATGGGGATTTGCTTTCAAGCTCCAGGGAAGCCACACTAGGAGTGGTGGCACGTGATCATAATGGACTTGTTTTGGGTGGCCTCGCGCGTAGATTGGTTCCCCCCCATTCCAAATCTCCCGAGGCAATGGCCTTCATTTACGGGCTTCGGGTCATCCATGAGAGAGATGCGATAACCATTGTCAACCTACTTACAAATAGGAAATAAGACATATTGACCATAGGATTGCTACTCAACGAGGAGCACCAAATTTTGGCCAACAATCCGAACTTCAAGGTTTTTTATACGAACCGAAAAGCTAATAGAACTGCTCATTGTCTCACTCGCTGGACCTAGTCGAGAAACAATCATTTTTGATTTTATTATGATGATCCTGAATGTATAAAGATATTGTAATTTCGAATGCCATCCACATTTAATGAATTTCGAATTCCTTTAAAAAAATAATTTCTAAGATGTGAAGGCTTCAATTGTCTGTTCGTTCTTTGCCCAAAACAGAGAGCTTATTCATCAGTATCATGCATATGCATGATTGCAGTTAATATTGTTACGTGTATGCCCTTTTTCAAGTTTAAAATCTAAAAGTTGGAATATTCTAATTTTATAACAATGTCTTAAATTATTCATATTTGGGTGGCCTAAATTATTAAGGTAAATTACATCAATAATTAAGGTGTTCAAAAAATACTCGATTCAGATGATCCGACTTGTTGATCTGTTGACTTGATTTAAAATTATCAAATATCTATAGTGAAAATATTTGAATATCCGGGTAAGTACCCGACCTATTATTTTTGTTGGGTTTCTAGATCGGGCCTTGGTCATAAAATAATGTTTAATTGGGTACTTGGTACCTAATTTCTTACATATTTTTTAATTTTATATTATATATTTTATTCTTGATTCTCAAAATATTTCACCATAACATTATAAATTCTTAATTTCTTAAATAATTTCATCATAACATTTTAAATTATTAATTTCTTAAATTGTTTTATCCTAACAATCTAAATTATTTCTCAAATTATTTTTTAATTTTTAAATTTAAATGTATTTCTTTAATTTTATTTTTAATAAATTTTATCTTTTAATTATATAATATAAATTTTAAAATTTTATGAGTAAATTATGTATCATAGACTTTTAAATTTTAGATTTTTACTATGTAGATTTTTTTTAAAAAATAACATAATTTAAAGAAAAATAAAAAGAATATGAACCGGATACCTTTTACCCAAAAATACGGGTATCCAAATTCTAAATATAATAAAATGATTTTTTTTTTTGTAAAAAGTTTTAAAGAAACAAAATGAAATTTGAAATCTTTCTTTTAATCGGCGGAAAATTTTGGAATCTTATCATTTACCGGATATAACAAATGTATGCTCAATGCGTACAAAAATGCTTACAAAAGCGGAGGCAATCCCTTGATATAGAGCGAGCGCTAAAAGATGTTGGTTTTCCGTTGCAAAATCCTCAACGTTAACTTCCCATCATCATCCTCTTGGTCTCTGGGAACTTTTGTCAAACACCTTCCACTTTCCAAACCTAAAACCTCATTTCCTCCTCAAAGACTCATCGTTAAATCTTTAACCACCAACACCACCGATGTAACACGCAGCTCTTCTTATTTTGAAACCTTAAACTCCTGCCAAAAGGACCAGATTCATCTCTACGTAGATGCTTTACTTCAGTGGAACCAGGTAACACTTTAAAACTGTCAAAACTTCGAATTTTGTGTCTCTTTTTCCTTTGATGGGTTTGTTGTTTCTTTGCAGAAGATGAATCTTACCGCTGTCAAAGAAGTTAATGAAGTAATGGAAAGGCACATTGAAGATTCCCTAGCAATTATTCCTCCTATACAAAATTCTTACATTTCAAGCTGTTACAATTCATTTGACAACATCAGAATTGTTGACGTTGGAAGTGGTGCGGGGCTTCCTGGCTTGATTTTAGCTGTTGCTTGTCCAGGTTTGATTTCCGCTCATCATTTTGAATGTTCACATGTTCGCGTTATAATTTGTATAGTCTTCGAATTTGTTTGTATTGTTTAATAAATTTACTAGTTGATTCCAATTTTTTTGGTATATAAATATTACACGTAAATATGTAGGTTGGGAAGTAACTTTGGTTGAATCTATGAACAAGCGATGTCTTTTCCTGGAGCATGCAGTGAGACTTATGGGGCTATCCAATGTCCAGGTTGTTAGAGAAAGAGCAGAGGTATTGTTTCAACACTCCGTATATGGATTTTGTAATTATTTGAGATTGAATATCTTTGTAGAAGGGCTAGAATTTGGGTACATTGGTCAGCTTTACCTTCTCATGGCTAATATGAATGGTTCAACCATTGGTAAAGGACAGAATTTGGGGCAGGATTCCAACTTTAGAGAGAGATTTGATGTAGCAGTGGCCAGGGCAGTTGCAGAAATGAAAGTTTTAGGTAATTATGACATTCTAACTTCTTATAGTGAAATAATTTTTTATCTATCCAAGACTGTAAACTTGAGCACTGCTTATACAATTTATTTGGTTTCTTTTGTTTTTCAGCTGAATACTGTCTTCCTCTTGTTCGTGTTGGTGGGTTGTTTTTAGCTGCAAAAGGTCATGATCCTCAAGTATGTATTTGGATTTCAACTTGGAAATGGCTTTGACAGACGAGTAATTGTTCTTAGCATTAAACTGATACTTTAGATACCAGTTTGGTTTTAGAATAAGAAAAAAAGTATGCATTGTTTTTAGAGAAATCCCAAATAACTTTCCTCTATGTTCTGATTTGGCCCAAAATTTGAATTTCTAACATTTAATTATGAGCTGGTTGTCTTTTAACTTATATACTTATCCCATTTGGGGTTGTGATTCTCTGTATAAAACCTTGTAGATGATCATTTCTCCAGTCATCTTGAAGTGAAATTTTGTGAAAGAGATTTAGTTTTAATGAACCTGTTGTTGTTTTGTATATTGAAAATTCTGTTAATTATAAGTCTCTGGTTATTTATTCTTAGTATTTCCTGAAAATGTAAACCATCAATCACTTTTTAGCATGTGGTGCAATTTAACAGGAAGAAGTTAAAAGTGCAGAAAGAGCAATCAAGTTGATGGGTGCTTCAATATTGCAACTCTGCTCAGGTATCTATTTTCATATTTCCTACAAAAAAATGTTTTATCATATTTAAGTTTTGAGATCTGTGAATGGCATGCTATGATATTTGGACACGTGTGTAGGACATGGCTGTGTTTGCCACTGATATACTCTATTAATATTTATAAGTTTTTTCATATACTCTATTCATCTTTTTTCATATGTCCACATATGTATCAAACACAGTTACTTTAAGGAATATGAAGAGTCCGAGTAACAAAGGTGGCATGTAAAGCATAATAGATAAAAATAAGCAGGTCATTGTTTGGCCTATAAATATGACATGATTGTTTTGCATAGTTTACATTTAGCCTCGCGGGTTCATCTAAGTTAAATACTTCTGGCAAGTTACTATCTTTCAATGTAAAGTACATATACATTCTTGCACTTCAGATTTAGTGCAGGACCAAAGTTAATCATTGTTTTCAGGTTAAGATCATTATCTCTGATGGATAAATAGAGTAATGGGCACTGCTATATTGTGGTTCAAGTAACAAGTTAAGGGAAAATGAAAACCATTACTTCTTGTTGTCTACTTTTCCTGCTGAAAATATGGAGAAACTGGTGCCGAAACTTTGAAGAAAATGATATTATTGCGGGTGATCATCTAATGTGAATGTGTGTGGTTAACTTCATACTTCTTTGAAGTCGATTTGTTTTTAGAAGATGCAAAATTTTGGGCGTTTATTGTAACACCCCCAACTCATACCCGACCCGGATACGAGTCCGAGATGTCACATTGACTTTTTAAAACAATATTCTTACAAAATATCAAAACATTTGAACTTATATTAAGAAAATACAATAATATACCATTAAAATTATGTTTCATTATAAAAATTTAAGGCAAAAACGTATTTATGAATAATATTATACGGTATGAATAGTACCATGAACAGTACCATAAACAATGCCATGAACAGTGCTACAGTGTACCGATGCACAAAAACATCGAATACAAATTGTGTATCGATGCACTGCTATAGCGTACCGATGCACTGCTACAGTAACTTCCTGAAAACATATATAAAACTCATAAAAATTTAACATTTCATCATTATACAATTACCATTTACATAAATACGTTTAAAACATTACAAAACTCGATCAGAGCATAAATACTTAATTTAACGACTTTGTTTACATGCCAACCTATTTATCACATAATAATACATACTTTGTAATTTACTTCTGATCTGATCTTCAAGTGGAGATATGATGTTCTGTTGAACTTAGCTTTGATCTTCCTGCTTCTCAGTACCTACGTGTAAATCGCTTACACGCTAAGTCATAGACTTAGTGAGACATATAAATATAATAATAATGCATTCCTTATGAATATGAACATGCGATCCATCCATTCTATCATGTCATATAACATATAACGATAATAATACAATTACCTTTGATAACCTTTTATAAGCCCATGTACATTTCTAAGAACTTAAAGTATTCGAGTACATTGAGGTTGTGCACTATTGCTGTCACCACAGCTCGTATGGGGTCCCACTAGGGGCATATGAATTTTATCCCGAAAGACCTATGTACTGTATTTGTCCCGAAGGACCACTCCTTAAGAACCATATACATATTCCAATGGATCAAATATGTCTCAAAAGACCCTGTAAATGTTCTAAAGGATACATATACGTTCAGAAAGACCACGTAGAACCCTCGACTCTTGGCATGCCAACTATACCTATAGCTCACATATCGTATACCATAGGCATTATTCTTATGTTTCATATGTTCATATACTCATGTCATTTCTCTTGTGATCACATACCTCATATCACATGTGCATTTGAATCTATTCACATATATCATTTATCAAATCATATGAACATATATATATACCTTATGCATGTATCATAATAATTATCATGTATGCATGTTCATAACTATTGTACTATGAAAATCAACATAGGAATTAGACTTATCATAAGTCTTATTCCATTGTACCATACTTATAATATGCACTCATCTATATCTCTTTGTCTTTCCCTCGATCGATCTTACTTGTCAATTGTTCAGGAACTTGTTTAAGCTCAATATCTACATAAACATAATTTCCGAGACGATTATTAAAAGTCTAAACCTTATAATTCAATGCTAATAACTTAAACTAATTTAATGAACCAAACTTCAACTTTTCCTTTAGGAGTGTACCGATGCACTATGGGTGTATCGGTACACAAATTAGGTTCGAAATTCCCATGCATCGATGCACCCCTTAATGTATCGATGCACCTTCAAAATTTGTCTTAGTGCATCGGTACCCATTCATAGTGTACTGATGCACCCTGCACAGAACATACTTTTTCACCTGAAAATTCATCAACTCTTCACTAAATTTCCTCATATAAAACTCCTTTCATACCACTAAACTCATCTACAACCATTTTAATTAACTTCTATCATCTCAACATCTTATTATCTCCAATATTTCATCCAAATTCTTAAAACCAAGAATCATACCAAATTTTTCATGTTATCCAAACTTACTTCTAACACTTATAACTTCTTATTCACACTTATGACAAGTCAATATCCACTTCTAAATCCATTTATACATCCTTATTCAAAATTTCACTTATCCACTTCTTATCTTTAATCCTTCATAACTTACAAATCTTTGAGTTTCTATGACCTTCTTCATCTCCATCATGTTTCTTAAGTCTTCCTTAACCAAAAGCATACTCGAATTTTAAAGATTAACCAAAAGAAATCAAACTCACCTTGGCTTGGAGCTTCACGTTGGAGAAGAGAAGATGAAGAAGAGAATTGTCTGGAAACTTATCTCTTCCAACATGCTCCACATGGGTATTATAATACCCACTAATTATTGTTTAATTATTCAATTATTACCCCTTGTTCTATGACCCATTTACCCCTTCCTTTATCCTTCATTTGCTAAATTATCCCACACCAACATCTTTCAATTACTTCCTTAACTTTTCAATTTCTTTAATCTGGTCATTGAATTTTAAAGTTTCACACTTAGGTCACTAACCCGGTATTGAGGATGTTACATTTATATAGAAGGATTCCGGAGGAGAAAGCAGATGGAATATGAGGGATCCATGAGGATGTCTATTTATTATATAGAAAATGAAGAGTCCGAGTAACATAGGTGGCATGTGATGCATGATAGATAAAAATAAGCAGGCCATTGTTTGCCCAATAACTATGGCATCATTGCTTTGCAAGTTTCCTTTGAGCCTCATTGTTTTCATCAGTAAGTAAAGTAGGTTAAATACTACTCACTTCGTTACTCTCTCATTTTAAAATCCATGTGCACCAGACACTTCTACTAAATTTAGTGCACGAACAAAATTGTTCACTGTGTTCAGGGCAAGATCTTTACCTGTGATTGATAGTTAGAGTAATGGGCCCTGCTATTGTGATTTAAGTAAAAAATCATTTCTTTTTGTTGCCTACTTTTCCTTCTGTAAAATATGGAGAGACCTTGCTGAGACTTTGAAGAAACTGATACTATTGTGGGTGATCATCTAATTTGAACATGGGTGGTTAACTTCATCCTCCTATGAAACTGGTTCTTTTTTTAGGAGATGCAACATTTTGGCCATTTTTATCAAAGGAATTTGGCGGACTAAGCAGATTGGAAAATGATACAGATTGCTTTGCTGAAAGAGTGATTGGGATTTGGTCTATGTACAGACTGTCTGGTTATATCCAAGTCTAAGTTTGCATAGGCAGACTTGCGTGTCTGCACACAAACATGCATAGTGAATGCAGTATCATGAACCAAATGGTCAGCTTAATTTCCATTTGAATTTTACAGATTCGCCTTGGACATAAGATCAGGCTTTTTTACTCATCTAGAAAGTCAACTTAAGTGTAAAACCTGTTCTTATTGAGCTTGTGCTGGAAAGAAAGGCTTGAAAGGTTTGGTCATTGTTTCCAAATTTTGGATTTCCCAATGAAAGAAATGTTCTCTTTGTGAATTCCTATTCTTTTTCCCTGGTTGCCAAAATGACATGTTTTTACTTGGGTTGTGCTTTCAATAAGATTTGTTTTATGTTTATAGTCATTACCTCTTTTCATTCATTTAGCTGTTTAGTTCAACTTTGAAACTGGCCTTGCATTTATGTGCTGCCTTTATGAAGTGATATTAACCCTGCCTATGTTTCTTCGTGAATCCATGTAGTGGAATCACACAGCCCACATGGACAAAGAACTGCTATCATTTGCTTAAAAAATAGCTCCACGCCAAGAAAATATCCACGTGATCCAGGTACACCAACAAAAGTACCACTCTACTAAGTAAGGTGTCTGTTTTGCAGTCTGCTTTATATTGTTATGCTTCCTGCAGCTCCAAATGTACGTGACTTCTGTTCTTAAATTATTCCTTTTTTTAGATGGCAAACATGGTTATGCTTTTAGAATAAGCTTAGGATTTTACTCTAGTCTGGAGAGGACTATTACGCTCAATACGCAGTTACTATATTTTTTCTCTCAATATATTTAGCTTTTTAATTCGTAGTGATTTTTCCAACATGGATGAAAAGATTTTAAATCAGTCTCTTCCTTTTGGCTTTTGCATGGATTGTTCTTGAACTTATCGATGACTGATTTAAAGCGAATTAATATGAATTAAGTCAGAATAACATAGATTATGGGGGAATATAATACAAATATTTTTATTTCAAGGAAGCAATAGATCTATTTACCGGCAAGTTTCCTTAAGAGATAATGTGGCGGGAAAAAAGATTGTCTCATATGGAGTGCAAAGGAAATTAAGGATGAAATGAACAGTGTATGGAGAAAGAAGCTCGGATCATCTGGCGTCTTTGAGAAGACGCGTTATCTTTTGGGCTAGTATGCTTCTAAGTTTGGTGTTCACACTACATGCAGCCTAGGGAAGACGCTGTGTCTTCCCGGCGTCTTCTCAAAGACGTCAGGTGATCTGAATGATTTCCCCCATCCACCGTTCATTTCACATAGTTGAAAAATTAATCTCCAACACCCTATTATGAACCATTCTTTTTTTCCACCACATTAACTCATCAAATTTGCACATGTTTACCTCTATGTACGTTATCCAAATTTACTTCTGAATATAATACAAATATTTTTATTTCAAGGAAGCAATAGATCTGTTTACCGGCAAGTTTCCTTAGATAATGTGTGGAAAAAAAGAATGGCTTATATGGAGTGCAAAGAAAATTATTTTCTCAACAAGGATGAAATGAACAATGTATGGGAGAAGAAGCTCGGATCTAAGGGCAGAACTAGGATGAAATTATGGGAGGGGCCAAGTTGCTTATCTTTGAAACTAACAAGGTTCTACAAAGTAATTAAACCATAAAAAATAGAGAACTGGGGCTTAATTTTACTAATTTCAAAATTGTCATGTCCTAAAAAGTAATTAAACCAAAAAAAGTTGAGGCAAGACTTAATTTCATTTAACTTTAAAACTAATAATGTCTTGAAAAATAATTAAACAAGAAAACTTTACAAGGGCCAGGATTTAATTTTAATGGTTTCAAAACTTTTAAGGGCTTAAAATAAAATTAAACCATAAAAGTTGGGTGGGTCATGTCCCCTTCCACCCTATGTGATTCTACAATTGCTCTGATAACCTGACGTCTTTGAGAAGACCTGCTATCTTTTGGGCTAATATGCTACTAATTTTGGTGTTCACACTACATGCAACCTAGGGAAGACGTCGTGTCTTCCCGACGTCTTCCCAAAGACGCCAGGTGATTCGGGTGTCTTTCATATCCACTATTCATTTCACCTAGTTGAAAAATTAATCTCCAACACCCTATACAAACCATTTTTTCCACCACATTAACTCATCAAATTTGCACCTATTTACCTCTCTATACATTATCCGAAGTTACTTCTATAGTAATTTATTTAAATATATAAAGAGGGTTGGTTTTGAATACAACAATTAGTGGGAAGAAATCAGGTTACATAATTGAGAGAGGAGAATAGTGACACTTACCTAATTTCTCGGCCACTTGTTAAAGACCTTGGTTGGAAAAAGAAATGAATTCTAAATTATTCTCTCGTGCCTTTGTAAATTCATAGTTACATAATAAGAATATCCAATCATCCACAAAACATTTGACCCACCAAAATATTTCTGTGCTCCTTCAGTAAAAATATTTTATTTCCATAACCTCGAGTCATGTGCTTCAATGTTCCATCTCCAATGAAAATCATTCCTAATCCTATTAGTTAGTACCATTTTAGGGTATTATAAAACAAGGAACTTTTACTATAAGCTTCCAAGGCAAACTAAATTTTGGATCAATATTTATTGTGCCTAAAGAGTAAGATGGGAGAACCAACAGAGTTGGTTCAAATGGTAAGCAGCTTGATATCGTTTAAATAAGATTTCGAGTTCATGTCTTTGTATATGCAGAAAATTCATGGCCAGAGTGCGACGTTTTTTATGTTAAATTATTAGGTTGTACCGCAAATTATTAGGTTGTACCGAAGAATTACCCGGAAGATAGTTATCTCAGTTTCCTGTATATTATTCAAGTTGGATAATGATATGGACACTTTATTATCCAACTTAAAATAATGCTCCACAGTTGTTCCTAGAAGAAACACAACCAGAAATTGCCTTAACATTCTTCGGTCGGAATTGTAGGGCCACAAGTTGCAGCAGTCAAATTTAAAGGACACATTTTGTACGTATGGATGTTTGGCCTAAAAAATTAAAACACTGCAGAACCTTCCACTATATGATTTGAATATTATTAGTAAATGTGTTGGAAATTTGGGATAAATATTTAGCTTGTATGAAGCAGGCAAGTTTTTGGCAACTAAATCAAATAACAGCAGCATGTTTGGGGGATAGAAAAAGTTATTGCATTCGTTGAGACTCAAATATCAGATTTACTCATTTTTCTCCTTAGATTTGTTACATGAACCAATGTTTTTGATTATGCCATGGAAGTAAATTCAGAAACTAGATATGCAGATTGCAAACTCCATGCTTTCTTTGTAGAAAATTGGCTAGGAGAGAAGAATGCTGTTTGAAACATCAATCCCTTTCTAGAGAAGGGGAACGACAATCTGCCACACCTTGATGTCACAGTCCAAGCTCCCGCTGTAAATAATATAGGATGTGTCGTAGCGGTTGCGGCGATCCAATGCTCCGGATAAGCATTTAACGGGGCCTTTATGCCCTTCCAGCACTGCCAAACATGAGTAGTTTCCATCCACCCCTCTCCTCCAGATTCTGATGGTTTTATCTGCTGAACCGCTGCAAACTAATTCCGACACAACAGCCAAGCTCAATATCGATTTTGTATGTCCCCTAAGAGCACCAGCCACTATCATGCTATTGCCGCCGATGTTCTTCTCCCAGACGACTATTGACCTGTCGCTCGCACCCGAGTATAAAGTAGACCCGTCAAGACTTATGGCTAAAGCATTGATCCCAGAATTATGTTGTTCAAGTGTAGCTACTAGAGAAAGGCTTTTGTCTCCTGGGATTTTCCTCCACACCTTGATTTTCTTGTCAGTTGATCCTGTATAAACATCTCCGTCGTCACCCGATAATGCCACTGCATTTATCGCGTCGTCGTGAGCATTTGTTACCGATTCCAAGCATTTGAAATCACTGGTTTTCCAGATTTTGAGTGTCCTGTCCCAGGAATTAGAATAAAGAAGAGTCTCATCCCTGGATAAGGCCAGTGCAGATACTGTATCCACATGATGGACCCAGGTGCATGTCTTGTGTCTTCGGATTTGAACTTGATTCTTAGGCAGGACAAGCTTTGCGGCACGGTCACTTAACGTTGGGAGCGTTGCCAAGCGAGTGTACTTTCGGTTATCAGGATCATCATTATTGATTTTCCATACTCGTATCTTGTGATCTTGATGAGCACTGAAGAGTTTATCAGTTAAAACTACTAAGGATTTCACAGCACCCTTTCCCACAGCTAGTATGTTATTAGTTAGATTTTCATATTCGAATTCAGAGTCGAGACCGTCACACTTCCATAATCGGATTTCCTCATCAGAAGAGCCCGTATAAAGGAACTTTCCGGCAACGGCGAGAGAGGACACATAGGAAGTGTGGCCTTTTAGAGTGGTGAGACAGTGATGTTGGATGTTGGATGTTGGGAAGATAGTATTGTTGTAGGTGAAGTTGGGAAGTGAGGGAAGGAACTGCTGGGAGGCTTGGCTATGACGATAGAGACATGGAAGAATCTGACTGAAAGCTGTGAGGCTGAGGTTCAGAATCATGATTCCAACAACAAAATTGATTGTCTGACATATTTCTTATAAGAACATGTGCAGAAAAGAGAGGAAGAGCATATGATGGAGGTGAGTGAAGTGAGTCCAAATTATATAGAAGGAAATATTTCTAATAGTTCGGGGTAATTACAATGTAGTAGTGTTCATAAACTTTATTAACTATTGACAACGCATACACATCCTGCATATGTAGTTGCTCGAACCCATAATTTCAAAAGAGAACAAGACTCCCTTTAACCACTAAGACCACTCAATGGACTCATATAGAAAAGAACTTTTTGTGAATAGTTTGGAGTAATTATAATGTAGTATGTGTTTCTAAACTTTCTTAACTATTGATAACACATACACACCTTGCAGAAGTAGTTGTTCGAACCTAAGATTTCAAGAAAGGATAAGACTTCTTTTAACCACTAAAACCACTCGATAAATTCAATCCGATGATAGTTGTATTACCTTGCTCTTCTCTACGGGGAACAAGCAGTATAATACATGTTTCCTTATAAAGGATGAGTGAGTTTGAGAAAAATATGCAATTATTTTGATAGCTAAGTTGTCGCAACCTTTATGATCTATGCAACTTTGACCCATTACTCCTAAATTGAAGGGCTCTTCCTTTATTTTGTAAGGATCATCAAAAGCCAAAGCATCCAAAGGATTTCTTCCACGTTAATCCGCAGTGATAAAAAATGAAGTTTAATGTCTGCTAAATTTAATCACTTTTGGTTGTTTTATACTGGGGTAAATTACACGTTTAGTACTTAAATTATTACTTTTGTTATGTTTTGGTATCTAAACATAATTTTTTTTAAAAGCATACATAAGGTTTAGTTTATGTTCTATTTTGGTACCCGCTGTTAAAAATTTAACGATTTGTTGTACATGAAATTTTTTATGGGTTAATTACATCATTCATCACTCAACTATCTTCTCTCTCCTATTTTGATCACTAAAGTTTAATTTTTTAATTTATTTACTCAACTTTGTTCTTGCTTTAATCACTCAAATATATTTTATTAATATTTGTTGTGACATGACATTTTTTTATTATTTTATTATATATAATTAAAATAAAAAATAAACTTAAAATTATATCCAAACCCAAAAATTATACCATAAATCC